CATGAACTTTGTTAGCCCCCTTGTGTATGTCTACCTTCTGACATCTAAAACATAGGTGAGCTGATAATGTTAAGTTTGTCTTAAAAAAAAAAAAATGGGGCAGAGGGAGGGAAAAAAAGAGAAGCTGATACCAAGGGCTCAAATAGAATACAAATGTTTAGAAAATGATGACAGCATATGTGCAAATGTGTTTGATCCAATTGATGTATAGAATATTATGAGCTTGCTAAGAGACGGTCTTCTAATAACCCTTTGGAACAAGCAAAAGCTTTATTATCTTTAACCATTGGTAGTGTTATTCCATTAATCATTAAGGTTATGGTTGAATTATTGGCCTTAAGTACAAAGTTACATGAAGTACACCTGCGTACTTCCACCCCTCCCCAAATGGGGGTAAAAGGCAGAGGTTGGATAGGTAGAGACCGGTAAGATTGAGTCCGAGTCTCTCAACCTAAGACAGGTCGTAGTCGCCTGGAGGACTGTGGTGATGACGGGTAAGAGTGATTTCGGGACACAACAACCTCAGACAGGCACAATCATCTGCCGGCGTTTTGAGAAAAGACGTCTTTAATGAAATAAAAAAGGGGGATATGAAGGAGTCATGAGAGGAGCACTGTGTCTAGAGTCTCGTATCTGTCTAGGACAGTAGGCAAACGTCTGTCCTAGTTGGTTCTCATGAACAGCATCCTTATTGCAAACAGTAGGATGATTTGTAGAAACAGCTGCACACAGTCTTTACCTGGTAGAAATGAAAACATCAGTATGGGCCGAGATACGGAACTCACTCTCAAGGCTATGAGAAATTCAAGTGTGAGAATAGCAAATTTCTGGGAACACTGCCAGTATTTAGTACATAAAATAAAGCACTGTGGGCTGTCAAGGTTGCTGCAATTTTGTACCGTCAAAAAAAAAAAGAATATTATAAGCTGTAAGAGGCCCTAATAAAATTATTTAATAAATTAAAAAAAAAATCTAATAAAAAAATTTGGACTTAAAATATGCACAGAACATACACTAATCCAACATGTACAAATCAGTGACATCGATAATACTCTCCAAGTTGTTTCTCCTACACTAACATAAATTCACTGCCCCTACTTTTCCTATCTAATCTTTCAAGTTGCTGTTGTCGATTTGGTTCCACACAGACAGTTCTGAAAGAACAAACTCAAGGTAAACATTCCTTACTAATTCAGCTACATTACGTTTGGTTTGGAGCCTTGATGGCACAGTAGGTTCGTGTGACGCTGCCAACTGTGCACTTGATGGGTCAAGCCCAGCAGCTGGTCCATGTGGGAAAGCTGAGGCTAACTGCTCCTATGAAGAGTTATCGTCTCTCAGAAACTTCGTGGGGTCACTATGAGTTAAAACTTAATGGCAGTGAACCTTCGCGGGGATGCCTTTTTTTGGGGGGGGGCATTGTTTGGTTTAAAGAAGACTTCAGGAGATGTTTTAGTTTAAGGTTTGGTGTTCCTGGGGTGCTCATTTTTCAAGTTAACAATTCTAGTTTATTTTACTATTTCACAAGTTGAAGAGAATTGGGAACAACAGAGTTACACATTCTTTAGTGTATATCAGATTCTCTATTGCCATAAAGCTAAAACCAATCCAGGGGCAAAGACTAAATGAAAGCTAAAAACT